ATGTATTATACCATTTGTTTAATGTGGGAAGGTGCAGTTTGCTGTCTGAATATTCCGTTTGTCTTATTGACATGTTGAATTCCAAAATAATGCCTCGCACTGTGTCAAATCTCGTGAATTCTAAATACTTTTTCATATTTTAGTCATTATGAAGAACATATGCAACTCGAATTGGGAATACACTCTCCCCAGCTATGGCGATAGACTCATATCACAAGAAGAAGATACGTACGACCCTAACGTGGACTGTAACATCACTCTCATTACGTATCCACCTTATGATAAATTCAATATCGATGTAAATACAATCACTTTCTCAGTATGTTAGTATATATAGAAATGACAATCGTCATTCGCCATCCTTTCCTGCGTTCGTTCCTGGATATTAGTAGTAGACAACTAACGTCTTGTACTATATTTATATGTTCTATTTTATCTATTTTTAGTTTGAGTATATATACCTGGAAGCAGCCAATGCTGGATGTCATGACTATCTTAATCTTTATGATGGAGATGTTATAAGTAACGAGACGTTAATTGAGCAGGTTTGTGAGTCACGTGACACCTATCCTACAATTACGTCTAGTAGTGTAATCACACTGCGATTGGTTACTGATTGGTTATTTTCGCTTGTTTTCACTGCTTATCAATCTGGTGAGTGAATAACATACTTGTGCAGCTCTACCTTCAAATTTGTGTGTAAATAATCCAAATTTTGAAATTTTATGTTTGACCATGATTAGTTCGCGTGAAACATGGTGTCAAAAATATTTGATTAATATAGATTCGCCAGAACTTTCAATTTCACCTAATACAGAACTATTAACGAATGCTGATTTCATTTTGGGTTCTATTTTGATAACATACTACAAGGGGCATCATCAGCAGTATTTCCATATTAAACATAGATAACGTCGTACATCTAGATGTAAAGAAATATGGGAAGGTGATATTTGGCGTGGAGATGTTAAAACTAGTGTCAATATTTATCTCAATCACATGAGTACCGTACTAGATTTTGGCCGTTGTTGGATGTGCATTAGTGTATTGATTGTGTTTTAGTTATGCTAATGCCGATCATTTTGTTGTGTCGTGTTAGGCAGAATGACGACATAATGTGAATGAATGTCTATGTTTTTTTTTCCAGCAGAAAATATAACTTGCGGCGATACTAGTTTTTATTGTGCATACAACGATTGGTGCATACAGAATAAATTGGTGTGTGATGGTATAAATAACTGTGGCGATGCTGCCGATGAGGAATCATGTGATACCTGTGAGTATATCCACGTATAAAGAACCATTTAGATACACACGCCAAATTATATTATTGTTTTGCAACTTGATTGAACTAAACAGATCAGTAAGGTGTATTATTTGTTTCTACAAATGTTTAAAGTACGTAATGTGTGTTTGTCCAGTAATTGCATCAAATAATTCATTACTTAATTTAGTATAATCAATTATAATATTGTTATTTTGCAGCAAGCACAAACTGGGTCGTAATCGTTGTTGTACTTCTCGTTGTTATACTCGCTCTATGTATTGGTGTGTGTGGTCTTTTTATGTGGATACATCGGTATTTTTTCAAGAAGAGCACTAAGAACACTCCGTCAAATATTAACTTAACAGACATTGCTACTGAATAACCCGGTATGATTTCTGATTTCCTACCTATTACAGTAGCGGGAAAATATTGTCTTTGTTTGTTGATATTACAAAGGCGAGGAAATAACAAAAAATCATTCACGCAACTTAACAAAAAACAGTTTTGACGATCGTGAGGCATTTCACCACTATACTTCCCTGAACTGGTGGAAATATTTGCTACTGCTAAGTTCAAGTCAGGTTAACTTTGAAATTGTATAATAATAATAATAATAATTAATAACTATTAATAATTATACAATAATCTAATAATATTATTTATTGTCCCATCGTCCGAATCACACGGTTTCGCTAAAGCCGGCCATTCATAACTGGCCCACGAACCC